TCCCACCAACAGTGTAGAAGAGTTCCTTTTTCTCCACACCCTCGCCAACATTTGCTGTTGCTAGTTTTTTTTAATATGTGCCATTCTCACTGGTGTAAGATGGTATCTCATGGTAGTTTTGATTTGCATTTCCCTGATTGCAAGTGATGTTGAACATTTTTTCATATGCCTGTTGGCCATTTGCATTTCCTCTTCAGAGAAGTTTCTTTTTAGCTCTTCTGCCCATTTTTTGACTGGATTATTTTCTTTGTTGTTGCTGAGTCTCATCAGCTCTTTGCAGATTTTTGTCCTTTATCATTAGTGTTGTGTGCAAAAATGTTCTCCCAGTTGGTGGGGCACTTGTTGATTTTTAATGATTCACACCTAAAACTTACATAGTGTTGTAAAGCAATGTGACTTCAATAAAGAGAAAATACAACAAACATTTGTCCTCATCTCAAAAAATAAAACTTGATAGATTAACATGTCATAAGGATTTTGTTATTGTTTTTATCATAAAGGATTTTAAGAAAGTCAATTCTTTTAGTTTACATTCAACATGAATCTGACACATAGCAAATTATACTTTGTGGCAGAATAGATTATAAATGGTTCCATTACATAATGACTGTAGCATGAGCTAGCAGTTTATATCTCCTTAAGAGAGTCTACAACATAGAGATGTAAATTCTTTTCATTGCAATTCTGCATAAATAGATTTCCTGCATTACATTGCCAAATTTGGATCTTGAAAGTGATAAAATGCAGATGCCTACAGATGCCATCATAAAAATGTAATTGCTGAGAAAAAAATTATTTCTGATCCATTGGAGGAATTTATTACAGAGGAATGCAACTGTGTAAGTTATTATACAGAGAAAATGAAAGTGAATGATTGAAATATATCCCAAGTTGAGCATCCCTTCAAAATAACCAAGTGATTTACCTATGCCAAAGAGAAAAAATAGATTAAAAATAAATCAGGTTTGGTGGGGAAAAAATAGTACAAAGACATATGAGAAAATGAATTTAGAAGTCAAAGTGACATTAACAGTTCTATAACCAATTACTCACAAAATTAAAATGTAATTTTAACTTTGAATTATGTACAGAGGTGGTAATTTCTGTGGAGCCCTGACAGCAAAGGAATATAACATAAAGATAAATAATAAGAAAAGCTGAATTTTTTTATTATTTTATATATTTTATATCATTTTTCATTTTTGCAAAAGTATGCATTTTCATCTTGGTTATAGTCCCCATACAATTCCCACCACCCTTGTTTTTACCCTACTCCCTTCACCCCTCACCCCTACACACCCCCTAGTGTGTCTCTGGTTTATAGTTCCTTGTTGATTTTGATTTTTACTTTATTATAGTCTTTTTCCTGGTCCCTTATTTAGGTTTTCTAAATCCCTGCTATGAGTGAGGCCATCCGGTATTTTTCTTTTTCTTTCTGGCTTATTCTGCTAGCATGATCCCTTCCAGCTCCATCCATGTTGCTGCAAATTGCGTGAGTTTATCTTTTTTGATTGCTGAGTAATATTCCATTGTGTTTATGTACCACATCTTCTCGATCCAGTCATCTATTTGGGGGCATTTGGGTTGTTTCCAAAGCTTAGCTATTGTAAATAGTGCTGCTATAAACATAGGGATGCAGGTGCCCTTTTGAATTAATGTTTCTGTGTCCTTTGGGTAAATACTTAGGAGTGGAATTGCTGGATCATATGGAAGCTCCATCTTTAGCAGATTGAGGAATCTCCACACAGCTCTCCATAGAGGTTGGACCAGTTTGCACTCCCACAAAGCAGTACAGGAGAGTTCCATTTTCTCCACATCCTCACCAACATTTGTTGTTGCTAGTTTTTTTAATATATGCCATTTCTCACTGGTGTAAGATGGTATCTCATTGTAGTTTTGATTTGCATTTCCCTGATTACAAATGATGTTGAACATTTTTTCATATGCCTCTTGGTCATTTGCATTTCCTCTTTAGAGAAGGTTCTTTTTAGCTCTTCTGCCCATTTTTTGACTGGGCTGTTTACTTTGTTTTTGTTGAGTCTCATCAGCTCTCTGTAGATTTTTGTGATCAGTTCTTTGTCACTAGTGTTGTGTGCAAAAATGTTCTCCAATCCATGGGGTGTCCCTTTGTTTTAGTTACTGTCTCTTTCAAAGCTGAAAATTTTTTAATGGGGCTACTAAATTGACAACTTTATCTGATAGCACAATGGATTTAAGGATTAAGAAGTTCCTGTGGAATGTTTTCCAGTATAGTAAGAGATAATATTACATATTTAACCCATGCAACAATTTCAAATTAAACACTCTTTGAAAAAAATGTGATGTTATCCTACTTTGAAATATGATTTAATGGAAATTTTTACTTGTATTAATAAGTGATACATAATCAAACAAACAGATACATGAAGGTTATGCATCAAATCTAAATAGATCAATTATTTTTATTTTTTAATTGTTTTTAAGATTTATTTATTTATGCATACAAGAGCTGGGGTACAGGCCAGAAATGTGGGGGAGGGTGAGAGAATTCACCAGAGACAGAGTGGGGAGCAGAACAGACTGACTGAAATACACTTCTGAGGGGAGCATCAGGCTAGAGAGGAGAGGTCTGCTTCACCATGTGGGTTGCTCCCTGGCCAGCCAGAGATCAAACTCGTGCTGCAAAGGCTGCAGAATGCTGCATGGTGTGGTGCTTAACCCCTTCACCATCAGGAAGGCAAGATCAATTATTTTAAATAAATAACTCTTTGACTTTGAAGTACACTAGCTTTTGAAAAGCAGAATCCCATTTTAGTGAAAATCAAGAATATTTCCACATGATTTTGTTGTACCAGAACTTTTCTTTATGAGATAGTTTGTAAACATAGTAGATATGCTATAAATCATTGATATTTTTATTTCAATTTGACTTGAATGCTGCTAAGACCAAGAAACTCTGTTCTAGCTCAGCTAATGGTGAAGTAGTATACTAAACAGTCTTTAAGAAATCAATAAACATTTCCAAAAACATTAACAACAATCTTCAAGAAGATAAAATTAGTAATTAAATTTAGGTACAACTGCACACTGTCATATAATAAGTACTAATTTCCCTTTCCCTGACTCATCAACTTGCAGATCATGAAAAATGAATGCAGGCACCACATTAAAAACTCTCTAAAATTAGCATAATCACACTTTTGAAGAGTTAGATTTCTTTCCAGTCAAATAAAATTATTTTGGGTCATAGTCTCCCTTTTAAATTTCTAGGTGGACTCAATGTTATAAAATTATTATATAGTTGTTTAAAAATGCCAGAAAATGCAAACTGTTAAGAGCATCTTCCATAATGTGAATTCACTTAAAAAACTCTCTACTGACTACTATATCAATGCATCAGTACTTGATTAAGCAAAATATCTATTATTTTCAGTTAGTATATAGAATGTAGTTTCTCCATAATGATACTTTCTCTATTCACAAACAATATGTCGGCTACCTTTGTGATTAGCAAGGCTTAAGTGAGTGTCTCTAACATCCCATCGTTATGCAACAAACAAAGGTTACACAGTGGCATTAACGTACTTTCCTTTATCAACCAACTCCAAAATGGAGGCCATTTCCTGACCCCACACCCAGTAACTGCATAGCAATGGCACAGTCTTAAATAACTTGTGAGAACTCATAAAACTTTCCCCAAAAAAATGGTGATATGTATGAAAAAGCATAAGAATTCTTATATCTTGGTCACTTAAACTTTTACATTACTAACTTATCCTAGGGAAGCAATTTGAACTGATGACAAAAATTGATATACAAAGATGCTTAGCACAGTATTATTTTATAATAGGAAAAAATGGAAACAAACTAAATGCCCAATAATGATAGGCTACTTTAAAAACAATGATCCATTTATATGAGGCATAAACAGCAATCTTCTTAAAGAACGCTTAGAACGCTTACAAACAATAAGGAATTTATCAAAAGATTGATTTATGTAGAAGAGCAGATAAAACTTAAATTGTTTTGTGCTTGTTCTGTTTTGTCTTTATTTTTCAATGTTTTCAGTGAACTTTATCAGAAAAACAATGATTACTTTGCTTTTTAACATGAGACCATTACAATGCTGGATAACATCAAGACTTTCCTGTAGGAATTTCACACCATGTATTAGCAATATTAAGATTGCCAAAGTTGACAATTAAGCTATCATCAGTGAGGCATATCTTTTCCAGTAATAGATACCAATTAGTACTAAATAAAAAATTGTACAGTCTATCCTCAGAGCTACTCTAACCCCCACCACCCACCCCACAGAGAAAACAAGAAGAACATAATTAAACTATTAGAGGTAAGGTCAAGGTAGCATCTCACCCAACTACTTCTTGAGTGCTTCTAGAACTTGGAAATTTCTCTTAGGAAGTATGATATATAAGGTGGCATCCCTCACAAATTTTGAATTGAAGACAAAAATATTAAATCTATACCACTGTATAAGTTTCTTGAAGTTCTGCCCTAAGAAAAATCTAATAAATAAAATCTGGACTTAAATAGTAAGAATGATTACACATATTATCAAAGGAAGGACTTAATCATAGAATTCCTGAAGTAACTTTTCCCTCATTTATTTTTTGTATTTTAAAAATAATTTCTTATTTGACAAATGAGCCACCATATGCCTTGGGGCAAGTCAGTGAAATTGCCTAGGCTCTCTTCCCATTTATGTAATAAGCCTTAACCATGCTGCCCAACTTACTCAGTTTTCATGCAGATCAAACAAGATAATGTACATAAAGGTATTCTGCAAGTTACATATATACATTATTACTATTGTTACTTTTAAAAGAGAAACTAGATGGGTGACTTTCAGAATTTTACATTTTAATAACACTTTAAAGGGCAATTTTAGATGACATATTCATTCTATAAAAATCACATCTTTCTTTGGTTCATTAACTATTTTCCCCATATTTTTAGTTTTTCTGAAGCTACTACCTGCTGTAACTTCATGATATTAATACCTGGATTATGAGAGGCTCCAATAACTTCTCTACAGTGAAAGTTTGAACCTGAAGATCCCGAGGATCAATCTTCAGTGTGATTGGTGTTTCAGCTGACATGCTGCCTGTGCACAAGAACAAAAAGACGCTTATTAATAAAGAAAAATAGCAGGCCTCCCCTGGTGGCACAGGCGGTTGAGCACAGCGCTGTGAAGCTGTCCACAGCCTCTGCAGTGCCAGTTTGATTAAGGCCAGCCGGTGAAGGTCCCATATGGCCTGGCAGACCTCTCCTGTCTCGCCTGCTGCTCCCCTTAGCAGTGTGTTTCAGTCACTCTGCCTGTTCTGTTCCCCACTCTGTCTCTGGTGAATCCTCTCAGCCTCCCTCGCATCTGGCCTGTACCCCAGTTCTTGTATAAATAAATAAATAAATCTTAAAAAAAAAAAAGAAAGAAAGAAAAAAAAAAAGAAAGAAAAATACCTCCCGGGGTGGGAGCAAAGGGTGAACAGGGTTGTAGAGAGTTATGGTACTTTGATTGCAGGCATGGTGCTGTAACACACGTGAAGAGCTGTGAACCTGTACTCCTAAAACATACACAGTATTGTGAACCAACATTACTTGAATAAAAAATAAATTAATAATCATACTTTCTAAAGGAGCACTGTAACAAAAATCATAGAATAGGGCTCCCTGGTAGTGCAGCGGTTGAGCGCTGGGCTGAGAAGCTGCCAGCAGCCTCAGCAGCACCGGTTTGATTCCCGGTTCAATCCCCAGCCACCGGCAAGGGTCCCACATGGCACCACAGACCTCTCCTGCCGCGCCCGCTGCTCCCCTCAGCAGTGTATTTCATCCGTCTGCCTGTTCTGCTCCCGGCTCTGGCTCTTGTGAATTCTCTCACCCTCCCGCGCTTCTGACTGTACCCAGTGCTTGTGTAAATAAATAAATAAATCTTTAATAAAACAAATCATAGAATATATGAGATTTATATTCAGCAACTCTTCCTGATATCAGGGTATTACTAAATCCACCAAGTGAGAAACGAGATATTCCCCAGCTGTTCTCTGAGGTCATGCTGTCTGAGCCTGGATTCGGAAACAAATTAACCTATTCTAGTATGTTCATAATTAAAGTAATAACGCAGGCCAGGGCATTTTGCATTTGATGAGGAGTGTTAAGTGGAAAAGAATGGCTGAGTCAATGAGACATATCTTCCAGTATCCAAGTCCTCTGACTTCCATGAAATCACAGCACTGAGATAGCAGAGCCCCTATTTTGTCTGTTCATGTCAATGATGACTCAGATGAGGAAGCAGATAGGACTTTGGAAAATATCTAATCTATCTTTAATTATTTTGTGAATTATTTATTTGAGGGTTTTTATTGTAAAAAAAAAATGTTTGGGTCAATTTATTTTGTTGGACAAAAAAAAAACTACTATAAATTAGCATATAAAAAGACAGAAGCCTCTGAGAGGTCATTAGCTTAGAGCAGGACAAAAATAAGAAAGGAATTACAAGCCATCTTTCAAGGCATTAACATTGATCTTAAAAATCAATTCAGTGATATTTTGCATACGAATACATATATGTCAAATGACCATATGTAACATGTACAAATTAACACATCAACCATGAACACTATTACCCTAATCACCAAGCACAAAAATTCCTATAAATTCAATTATCAGTCAATAATCAACAACAACGTATTGACTAAAGGTCTATAGAGATAAGACGTAAGAAACAGATCACTCCTAAATTAAATAAAAAATAAGAATGAATTTATTTCCCACAGAAACGTCTATTACTAGCAGTGTAGAAACTTTCTCACTAGTTGTTACCTATTTTTTCTCTAGTTTTCTACTTTGCAGATTAAGGGAACAGAAAAATCTATCTCTAGAAAATATCCTGATATTCCAAAATGTCCATGGAAACTGATTGGCTTTATTAATAGATAATGGATGTATAGATGAATGAGTAAATGAATGAAAGAACAAATTTGTGAATGATAAACAACATTTTCATCATGTTCCTCTAGTCATTGTGCTTCTCAATCTCTGTGATTCTAGGAGAGAAGATTGTTATTTTTCCTATACCTCTGCCTAGTCTAACCTCTAAGGGACATCAGAATCTCAGAGAAGGATCTGATATAATTCCTCCTTCCCCATACTCCTCCTAGACTTTTTCAACTCCCACTGACCTGGTTCCATAAAAAAACGTCTCTTTGCTCTTCAAACTCTCTCACTGGATCTTTCCATTGGATCCATATGTGTGTTACTGTGTATAGTCAAAGACCACCAAAAGATCAGTGCTTCATCAAAGTCCATCCACACCGGATGTCAGATACACATACAAAATACACACACACATACAAAACCATGCTGTAACTAAAAAATCATCCTTCCTGACTCTTACCTTACCACACTATAATTCTTAGATTAACAACATAACTTGCATTTTTAAAAAATAGGAGCAAATACTATCAAGTCCAAAAGCCCTACTGCTCTTCAGTGCCACATGACTACACTCCATGAGTCTCTTACTATAAAAATAGATATTTGAAGTATTCTTGTGAATAATAGGACTTGGCTAAAGGACTGTCCCCAGTGACTTAATATAGAAATTTGTACATAATCAAAATAATGAATTTCAAATATGCTTATAATCAAATATATTCATAATACTTATAATTCTTTCATGTGTCTTCAGCAAAGTTTGCCGGAGATGTGCTTCAGATATTAAAAACAAAGATAATTATGCTGAAAGTCTCAAAGGAACCAATTATGAGAAATCTAATAATTTATGAAAGCATTTAAGTACAATTATATACTCCAATGTTGACTATACTATTAAAAGTACTAATGCATACTAATCACTCCATGTATGGTATCAAAAACATGTTCTAGTCAACTCAGGAAATTATAATAAGCAATTTGAAGTGGGCAAAAACACTTTTAGTGTGGAGTATCTGAGGGTTATTCTAGCCATGTTTTCAAGTAGCAATAATACATTATTTATTCAGCTACTAAAAATGACTATAAATGTTGAGGGTTTGATATAAAATCCACTGACATTATTGACTGCAAAGATAAAGTACACTTTCTGAAATGTAGCTCATTTCTAGTTCTCTTATTGAACATAATCCGAATGGCCTACTCAGGGCCGCCTTACCCACTTGAAGACTGTCATAAGTGTCCTTATTCTCAGTCTATGTTTAACTCTACCACAAGCCACTAGCACAAAGTCTCTATAATTTCTTTACTTTTTAAAAACCACTTTGCCAAAAAATGTTATTTAAATTGTATCAAATAAGGCCTCCCTGGTGGTGCAAGGGGTTAAGAAGCAGGCTATAAATCTATCTGCAGCCACTGCAGCACGAGTTCAATCCCTGGCCAGGGAAATGCTCACATGGTACAGCAGACCTCTCGCCCGCTACTCCCCTCAGCAGTGTATTTCAATCACTCTGCTTGTTCTCCTCCCCACTCTGTCTCTGGTGAATCCTCTCACCCCCCCCCACACCTCTGGCCTGTACCCTGGTGCTTGTATACATAAATAAATAAATCTTTTAAAAAAATAAAAAATAAATAAATTGCATCAAATAAAAAGATATTTGATTTCTTTTCAATTAAGACTATAAATTACTATTATGCTATATCAACATACAAAGACAAACAGTCCTATGATTTTGTCCTTTCCTATCTTGCTTCTCTCTTTCATTGTTTTCATTTTTTTCCTGTCTTAAAGTAGCAACATGTCCCTTTTCTCAGCTATTCAACTGAAATGTAGGAGATATGCTTCAATAAAGGCTTCAAATACCTACCCCCAAATGGTTTCTCTCAAATGCACTTCTACAGCTGCAATGTTTGGTTTAGTTTGGTTTTCCTTTTGCTTTGTCTTTTCCATCATTCTGCCTAGCACATGGATTCCCTTAGCACAGGCATATCTAAATTGACAAATAGGACATTCCCATGGTGACATTTTTGCATAGCTCAGAGCCAACCTATGCTATGAAATATATCCTTCAGTCGCTATAACCATGGGATTCTAGCAAATGAGCGCCTACAAAGGGGTTTACTGGTTATCCCTCTCATGGCAGGTACTATCCTACACATAAATCAGGTCAAAAATGCTGACATGGTTTTGTTCTTTCATCTTAGAAACAAGAAGTAGAAGACACTGCTGTGAACTAAAATAGAATCCAAATGAACCTTCACAGCCTTTAAAAACATGTTCTTTCACTGCAGAATTCACAATGTGTTTCCAATGCTATATCAAGCACAGATATTGGAGGCAAAGGAAATTCAAAACTAGGGAGAGTAAAAATTATCAACATCATATATGATCCTTCTAGAAAGGGGTTTTTGACCAAGAAATAAAAAGAAAAACCTAAGTTTGCCAAAGTGTCTTCCAAATCTGTAACAATATCTTCAATACACATTAAGTAAAGAAAGTTGTTGAAAAGCTCATTTTCCATAGTAAAAATTTTAAACTAATAAACCAACAAGTCATTGAAGAAAGTTGGCTACATATAATTATTGTTCTTTAATTAATGCTGTTTCTTACAAAAATCATTTAGATCTTTTGTATCTGTCCTTTTTAAAAATCCTGATTGATTGGAGATCGGGCAATAATAGGCGGAAAACTGCAGAATTTTGCAAATGAATTCAAAGCAAGGTCAAAGCCTGACAAACTGTTACCAGTCTCTTAGAGCAATAACACAATGTGAATCCAAAACAAAAATCCTACTAGGTTGCAGGTATTACATTCCAAAGCATTTGCATTTTATAGTCCATAAAATCACAAAATTCTGAAAGTACCTTCCAAACTCAAGAATACTTCCTATAATATCCTTCATTTGAACAATGAACTGGGCCTGGATGAATAGAAATGATGAGACACTCGCTATACTGTAGAAGTCAGTAATTACTCTTATAAAGTTCTTTGTTATGCTGAGTTGAGATCTGCCACTTTTTACCTTCTATCCAATAGAGACAGTTTCAAAAAGTGGGAAAATTACAGGTTTGGAGGCAGACAGACTAGATTAATACCCCAATTTTCAAAATCAACAGGAGGAAAACAAAACTCTAGAAAGCAGTAATAGATGCCCCAGAGACAGTCCTCAAGGCAAG